AAATTTAGAATAATTATAATTATATAAATATAGCCTTCTGTTTAGTAGATATAATAGTAGTATTTTTAAAGCTTTTAATATATATTTTATAAGTTTTTAAAAATCTTCTTCTTCTAAAACGCCTGCTTTTTTACTAGTTAATTAATTAAGTAATCCAAATAATTAAAAAAATTATTATAGATATTACAAATCTTATAAACAATAGGTCTACTGTTTCTTAATAAATAGAATATAAAAAAAAGGTATAAAAGCTTAAAAAGATACTTTATTTATTTTTATTTAATTATAGTAGAATAAAGATAATTAATATTGCTATACTTATAGTACTAAATAAAACTGTTAATTATTTAATAAAGATTAAATATCTAATAAATTATAAGATAGGTTAAGTTCCAGTAGGTTTTATAGTCTAAAAAAAATAGTAAACTAATCCAGATTTAAGTTGTTGGATAAGCTGGAACTTTTTATAGTATTAAAAGCTTATATTTATAAATTATACAATCTTTTAAATCTATAAATAAAAATTAGTATAATAAGCTATTACTAAAAAAAAACTTTTAAAAGCTATCTATAAAAGACTACTATAAATAGTTTTTAATATAAACAGTAGAGGCTGTCTGTATTAGCCTTTTATAAATAGCTTTTAAAATATATTTTTTAAAAAGTTTTTAAAATATTAAAAAAAGCTTTAAAACTTTTATTATAATTTTTTTATATATATTTAACGGTACTGTTTAAAATCTTGATCCAAAGCTTTTATAGAAGAGTATTAATTATAAGCTAAATTATATAAATAAAACAGAATATATAATACTAGCTCTAAATAATCTTTAAAAAATTAGGGTTAACTAAAGTATTATAAAGCTGGGTACTCTGGCTGAGCTGGGCTTAAAGTTTAAATAAAATTATACTAAATATTATATTATTATTACTAGTATTATTAGTTGTTATACCTAATAACTAATAGGCCAGATTATATTTGTATAAGACTAATAAATTAATTATAGCTAGATTTTTATTAGTATAAAATCTAGATACCGGTTGAAAGCCTAGTAGAATTTTATAATAATCTATATCTTTTATTAAAAAATATTTAATTAAAGTAAGAAATACTTTTTAATTAGGGTTGGTCCAGCAGTTTACTGTAATAAAAATCTATTTATTATCTAAAAACTTTAATAACAGCTGTATATATATATCTTTTAATAACTTTAAAAAATATTCTTTAATCTGCGTTTGATTAGAAGGACTTAGTTTTTAGCAGAAAAATAAAATAATAAAATTAATTATCTGTTTAAATTATATATATTTAATAGTTTGGAACGGTAGGCAACAGGTAATTATAAAGTATAAAACTTAATTCTAAAAATTCTATTTATTATAGATTATAAAAATCTAGAGAATGTAATAATTAAAAAAATATTTATTTTTAAAAAATAAAAAAATAAGTAAATATTTGTAATAGTTTTTTACTTAGTATCTAACTAATTATTTGCTTAGATATAACTAATAGTATTTTTTTTTACAACCCTTATAAAAATAGTAGCTTATAAAACTAGTTTCTAAGTTTTTAATTTCTAAATATTGTAAGATATAAAGGTATACAGTATAGTAGATATAAAAAATTCTATTAAAAAATAATATATCTTTTTAAAAGCTGTTTTATATTATTAATAACCTCTTCCGCCCGAAGTAAAATAGCGGTTTTTAAGCTTATATACAGACTTTAAAAAAGATTATCTTCTACTACTAATTCTAAAAAATAAGGACTTTTTTTTAAAGAGTTGGGTATAAGATAATCTTCCGGTTCTTTACAATATATATAATCTTAAGATTTAAAAGGAAAGAAAAGATCTGGCTTAAAAAGCTTATTTTAGTTTAAATATTATTATTATTTATAAAAATCTAAAAAACAGAAAAAAAGGGCTTAATAGTATCCTTTAAAAATAAGCCAGATAACTATAATTAACTTATAATTCTAAAACTACTCTATAAGTAATAGATATAGAAGAATAAAAGTAGAAAATTCTATAAAAATAATTTATTTTATTTTAAAATATACTTTTATAGAAATATACTTTATTATATTTTAATATACAGCCAAAGCACCCGCCGCACCTTATATATTTTAGTAGATCTAATAAGTAGAAAATTATATCTAAAGCCTAGAACTATGTGTACTTAGGGCTAACTAGATTAAATAGATTAAAAATCTTATTTTTATATCTAGAAAAAACTTTTACAGAACCTACTATAAAAAATATAGTATCTAATATTAAATTAAATAGTTATTAGAAAGGACATTTGCTGAGAAAGACTAAGTAGGTAGTATAATATAAAATTTTAAACAGATTTAGATTAACAAAGTATTTCAAATTATTAGGATTAAAAAGGTTAAAAAAGTTAATTAAATTAATAAAAAAATTAAAATTATTAGTATTAAAAGGGTTAATTGGATTAGCAGGGTAATTAAGATTATTAGAGTTAAAAAGATTAATTAAATTAGATATAAAGATTTATATTATATATATACAGTCTAAACAGTACTATAATTATATATCTTTATATATATTTCTTACTGTAAAAGTAATAATTTTATAAAAAGTTAAAATTTATCAGCACCACCAGGAATTCCTTATTTTTTTTTAAAAATAAAAATAAAGAAGATTGTAATACTTTGCTTAGTTACTTTTAATTAATTTAAAAAGCTTTTTTTTATATACTTTTAGACAACAGTTAAGATGGTTAGATTAATAACCTATTAATCTAAATATATTTTAACTATATTAAAGCTAAAAAGGGTATAGCAGATAAAGCTTAATACTAAAAACAGTTAAAACAGTTAACCGTCTAATTTTTAGCTATACTGCAGTTAGATATAAAAATTTTCTTAATCTAGCTATAACCTGGCAGTTAGGTATAAAAATTTCAATTAACCTGACCTGACCTGGCCGTTAGCCACTCTAAGTACTATTACAAGTAAATAAGCTATTTTATATAAAAAAAGAAAAACTTATAAAAATCTTATAAGCCCTTCCAATCTTTATAATTAATATTATAAAGAAATGTATATAAAAAAAGGCCTAAAATATTAGCTATATAACAGCTAAGTAAGGCGGTTGCGGAACTATTTAAGGCAGTAGTAGTTCTGTAAAGTTAGACAGATTAGTAATAATACTTTAAGATATAATAGTACTACCTTGGTTATTGTAATAAGCCATTTGTTTACTACACTATATCACCCTCTAGTCCTTATAAATACTAATATTATTACGAATTTATCGGGCTTCTAATCTAGGTTTTTATATCAGTATAAAGCTGACTTTTTTTTTCCAAGATATATATAAGTACTCAAAATCCTTAGGGGGATAGGAAATCCCCAAGGATTAGTCTTGCAATTAATAAAAGACTACTTTTTAACTGCTTTTGCCTTGCCTAACCAACGTGTCTACTACGTCAAGTAGTTCCTGACATCTAAACAGAGCTGTAATTATAAATTTTTATATATGTCTTTTACTATAAAAGTGATAATCTTTTAAGAAGCTAGAATTTATCAGTACTACTGGGAATTTATTATTCATTTTTTTAGAAATAAAGATAAAAAAGATAGTAATGTTTTATTTAATTATTCTTATTTAATTTAAAAAGCTTTCTTTTATATATTTTTCGGCAATAGTTAAGATAATTAGATTAAAAACCTATTAATCTAAATATATTTTAACTATACTAAAGTTAAAAGAAGTATAGTAAATAGATTTTAGTACTAACTATAGTTAAAATAATTAACTACCTAATTCTTAGCTATACTGCAGTTAGGTATAAAAATTTCCTTAATCTGGCTATAACCTGGCGGTTAGGTATAAAAATTCTAATTAACCTGACCTGACCTGGCTGTTAGCCACTCTAACTATAGGTAATAATAGTATAGTTTTAGATGATATAAGTAAAGACTAAAGACCGATAGTCCGGTTCCGGTCCTGAAATTTGGGACCGGGACCGGACTATTCCTAGGCCTAGCCGGTACTCATCTCTTTGCCAACCCGCAATCGCATCTTGTGTCACCCGAACCTACCCGCCAGTGTTGCCTATATCAGTTGGGCACCGAAATCCCCGTTTGTCTATGGTGGGACACAGCACTTTCACCTCGTCCAATTATTGATCGGCCTCCGTGCCAGCTGCCATTGAGACTGAGCGGTCTAGACTCCCACCTGGCCATCGGTCCGTGTCGCAGAGGACTGACTGGCTATAGGCCGACTCTGGGATGAGAGCAACCGAACACTGAGTTGCAAGCGTTGGCCATGACTTAATACAAATCGGAGAATAGCCCTTAGAGACCAGTCAGGGTCCGATGAGCGCGTATGGATTTCACTTTTCACGAACTTATTAGTCAGTCATCGACCTTAGCCTCCAAGCCAGCTCTTAGATGGAGAAACGTACATAAGAAGGCACACGCTGAGACAGACAAAGAGGGTCAGACAGCCCTAGAGTGAGACCAAGGGCGGGAAAAGTATAAATATATCGACCCATTTTCTTTGACCATTGTGTTTTTTCTCCCCATCAGGCGGAATACTAACTGGGACCTGCGACTGCCATCCAAACAGACCGCAATCAGAGTCCCCGAGACTTCAATCCTATCATCCTCTTTTGCTACCTGAGAGCGTGAGAAGCATGCGTGCAGTCTCGTTGGACTCTGTCAACGGCTCGCGATCGCAATCTTGAAATGTCTTAACCCCGTCGCCATGGTGTGCCCGGTGAAACCACCGAGTTCTTCTTACAGTTCATAGCAATAGCGGACACAAGATGAAAAGAATAATGTCTAGTCCTTTCCACGTCAGAAGCTGTCTCGTTGGGCGACGAGATTGAAAGGAATAAAAGGGACACCCATCGCTGGTTCAAGACTGCTTGTCTCTCTCCATTTCAATCACTGTCATCGTCTGTTATTACAATCAGCTTCTCTCCCTATCCTGTTCTAGCCATTACTTCTCTGTGGATTCCGCGACATGGCGCAAGTGAAGACAAGCTCAACTTCACTGGTGAAGATGGAAGCTCTATTAGAGGTGTTCATGGAGCAATTCCGCGACCTGGAACAAAACCCGAACCTCAGCGATACTCGTTTTGTTGTGGTAGGGGATCTCGCTGAGATCTCCTACGAACTCAAAAATGCAAATCGATATCTTGATCATAATGTCGAAATTAGTGTAAGAAAGCTCTTGTTGGGACTGAATCCTCTCACTCCCCTTCTTCCTTTTCGCTCACTCTTGCCCCTGCCCGTGCTAGATACGTTGACTAACCTCCTTCCATTACAGGGCACAATTGTTCTTTTGATTGATTATGAGGAACGTATCGATTCAATCAAAAATACTCTGAAAGAGAGATGGCCGAGGTACTTTCATGTGATCGACAGTCAGTTGCATTACGACCCCGTGACAGAATCTGCCATGATCCCCGTATACTTGATTCCGCTGGACCGACTGGGTCTTGGGCAGGACTTCGACAGGGAATGTGGGCTGAAGAACATCACCGAGGTTGGCAAGAAGGCGCCGAATTCCGCGGACGGCCATCACGGAGCAACTACGTACGGCAGTCAGCAGGTCCGGGGTGACCTGGAGCGCGGAGCGCATCACGGCGGAGCTTCAGGCGTCGAGGGTTCGTCGTCCAGAAGAATCCCAGAGAAGCCAAGGCCAGAAGTCAGGATTCGATGAGACCCCTAGCTTGGATAATTCGGAGGACTCGTGTGATGTGGCAGGACTTTGCTCGTGCCTCCCGTGGCTCGCGCGGCTGTAAGAATACAGGGGCCGAGAGTTCGGCCGGGATTGGATTCGCCCCTCCCCCCCCCTTCCCCGGGTGGGTCCCCCCGTTGAAGATTGATATCATCCTTTCCGTAAGGGGGCTTGCATAGTACTCTACAGCCTGACACCCTTGTCATCCACGCTAGCACCAGAAAGAAATGAGTTAACACTCAAATCGCTGCAGTATAGAATGCTCATGAGTTAGAACCAGACCTAAACGAACAGAGACGAATCGGGTCCAACCACAGAAGACGAACAACAATTCACAGTTACGATGCTTTACCTGAGCTACAAGATAATTCCCACAGAGACTTGGCCCCAATGACCCCCTTGATCACGTGCGTTCTAGAAGAGCCTTGGAGACTTTGACGTTATCTTTTTTTCTCTCTACTGAAGTTGGAATTTCTTAAGAATCTTAGTTGCAAGCCATTGGACTTATCACTGGTCTTATATTATATCCATAGACTCCACAAGGAGGTGTAGAGACTGGGGGGCGGATGGAAAGAACATCTCGAAGCAACTACCTAGTAGTGCCTAGTAGTGCTGGTAATAGTAACTTCAGCTAAAGTACCTAGGGGTTACCTGCCGCAGGGTCAGGGTCGTATCTGGGTTGGCTGCCATCCAAATTCCATGGGTAATCGCGCCTGCGCCAGCAGATGGAATTCTTGTACTCCTCGGGAGTCAGCCATTCGTCCCCTCTCCGGGCTTTATCGCTTTTCTCTTTCAGGTGCGGGAAGCGATCAGTCAAACTCTGCCAGGCCAGAATACTCTTCATCGGGAAGGGACTGATGTCTTTTGGAAAGACGCCATTACGCTCAAGGACCCAGGCAAGAGTGGCCAATTGACGGTAGCCACTACACACCTGGAAGGCGATTCGGAAGGAATGGACGTCCAGTATCCTTTGTGGGATCCTGTATACCGGGCCATCCTTGATGATACTGATCATCTGTAAGTAGCAGAACCACGGTCCATGGAAATCTTCGAGGCGAAGCCATCGAGGATCAAGTCCCTTCAGGGTGAGCTCAGGTGCCTTGGTGAAGGCTTTGTTCACGCGAGCACGGGCCCAGGGAGGCCGGGGCTTGCTGCGGGGCTCTTCAGCAGCAGCAGCAGCAGCAGCAGCGGCAGCAGTACCGTCCTCCTCTTTCTCCGGGATCAACGAGAAGAAAATGTTGGAGAGCTCCTCCACCCACTTGCAGCTGTCGGACAATGGGATGTAATCCAGATGCTGGGGTCTGTACAGGTAATAGTCGCGGAAGGCGAGGCGGATTAGGGCTTCCACCATCCGCGCCGCTGAAACATCTTGACCTCGTAGGTGGCCTGCTGGCACGAGACGAGACGCGTATCAGTCGAGACCAAATAGGTCTCATCATCTTCGGCCAGCGGACCACAGGCCGGAAGCTCCAAGTTAGGGAACCAGTCCTCGTGGCTGAACAAGTTGAGATCCACATGGAGCTCTTCCCCCGGGGCTGCCGGCTGGAGGTGGAAGACATGAGCGGGCACCCACCACGCCCGATGGAAGTTTGCCCGCAGATTGTAGATGAAGTTACACGAGACTGCTTCGTACTTGTCCTCCTCTTCGTCCTTTCAAAGACGGATATTCTCAATACGGCGGCAGCCATCGTCGAAGTTAGCCTTGCGCAAGACCAGGACCGCCTGCTTCTGCAGGGACCGCGGGATGATGATGTCGAGGGAGTTGATAGGATTCTGGCAGCCAAAGTGCCGCCACATACTGTCATTGATTACATGGCAGGGAATCTTGTTCTGCTCCAGGAGCTTTGCAATCTGTTCAATCAAGGCTAGGTCCGCTGGTTGGCCGGTGTATTTGAACGGCTTCGCCTTGGAGGGCGTCGGCGGCAGGGGCCGTCGGAAAACGGGACCAGAAAATCGCTCGCCCTCGAAGGTATATTCTCCCATGAAATACACCGTCGGGTTGAGGATTTACCATGTACTAAACTCAGGCATTGTGTCGAAGCAAACGGTACTTAGAATAGAATCGTGTGGGTGGTTTGGGGATGGTGGCTGAATAAGCCCGGACATGACCTTTGTATTTATAATACTCGCTCACTCTCCCGGAGCCCAGTAACAACGAGCTTCGAGGGAGATGAGCTCGAACACATCCTGGAGAATGACCTTTTCCTTGTTTCAACTCCCTCTATTGGCCTGGCTAGACTCAATGGGCGGTGCTTTGTCCAAGGCCCCTATACAAAGGCACACAACCTGATTCAAGCTGGCTCTATCACTAGCCGAGAGTTTGAGCCCATTGACCGGGTCTGATTTTCATTGTTATCTATCGGAAAGGGTCCAGCAGATTCTGAATGCTGATCGGACACGGTAAGCCGGCTGTCACCAGCGAATTCTGATTCTTTGTTTTTGACGGAATTCACCCAGCCGCCATTGTCTGGCTCTTGTCGATCTTTATGCACCATCCATGAGAGCTTCCTTACCAGCTCAAGTAGTTATGATGTACGGTACCTTACTGCTCGGCTCGCTTGACTACGTATCACGTGATGACTCTGTGCCAGCTTGCCTCAGATATCTCGGGGAGATTTGGGCACTACTTGGCCAATCTGGGTACAGGACTATGAGTTGCGTGGAATCCGTTGCCGGGCACTGGTATGAATCTCTCTCCGGTTCCCAGAAAAGAGACTCGCAAATCATGTACATACATCCATCGTTATGCCTGGTTGACTTCTGAGATAAGACTTGTCTGCACCTAAACCATGCATTTGTTCCTATACTCCTCATTATACAGAAATCAGAAGCAGTTCAGTACTATGGTGTTCACTCTGCAACCTATTCTAAGCACCAAGGTAGTATAGCCCAATCTGTCGATTGCTATCCGGCCGCTCTCTCTGTCAAGCAAAGGTAAGATATAGCACACGCGATTGTTCTCTAGGATGCTAGAAGGAATATTGACAGGTAAGATAATTGCCAATCTACATGTTCCACGCCGCGCTGCTCTATGTCCCAATTGCGTGGGTCAAGCCGAGAGTCAAAGTATCAACATCAGCCCAGGTTCTCAGTGCTGCTTCGCGCCTGCGACGACCTCCTTGCTCTGAGTGTGGTGCTCTGTAGTCTACCAATGTATGGCTAGACATTTGACTCATCAGGACATCTTATCGATGGCGAGGGAGCCGAGACGGAGGTCTTGTGGTTTGTTGGCAAGAAGATACGGATTCGAGGATATCGTACTATCTGCCGCCTCTGGCCAAGTCTGCTGTATATGTTCTGCGACACTGGCCTGTGATTAGTCCAGGGTGAGTATAAGACCGAGTGAAAAGTGCGGGCGCGGCTTAGCCATGACTTTGGAGATTATCGAGATCAATTAATTCAAGACAAGTGTGCAGATACTGATCTACTATCAGATTACTGAAGGGGCAAGGGTCCCGCACCTTTATACACTATAGTGTTAGTTCTTGTTTCTGGATCGCAGTTCTTGTTGTCCCTACTTTAGGAAAGATCTTTGGATTGAACCTTGGTGACTAATAGACTTTGACACGTTCATCTTTACTAGATAGTAATCAACAAAGTATCGGTATATAGGGTCAATATAGTCTCCTTCTAGAAAGCTCCACCACGTGCACGTATTCACTAAAGAGGGTCACCCGAAATTCAGCCTCTGGATCCAGACTTGAGTTACATGTCTAGAGATTCTGGTCTTATTCAAAGAGATAGTAGAGTCAGTTAGTCTCATCCACACTTGCCCCTCAGCATAGGTAGCAAATGACGCTAAATTTACTGACAGTGTATAAACTTTTATAAGATGATAATTGTAGGTCGAAATTAGACCTCAGTGAGGTAATATCTAGTATTTACATCTAATCTACATGATGAGTTGAACCTTACCGCCAAGTGCCCAAATATAGCACCCTTTCGTCCTTAGCTAGATTTAAGACTCCCGGGCTACAACTTATGCTTCCACATCAGTTGTCTGGAGATTCTTCCGCAGCGTGACTTTGCATGGGAAGCCCTGAGCGGGATGGCCGGCGCCCTTCTGAATCATGTAGGCCCGCTCCTCGAACACGGTCCGAATACCGCCGTTGGACGGATTCAGGTTATCATATTCCGCATATGCATCGTGGAAGTCGAACTGGCGCACAATCATGGCGAGGGTAGCCTTAACACCCAGCAGCGAGATGTTCTGGCCGATGCAATTGCGGGGACCGTGCTCAAATGGGCGCCAGCCACCGGTGGGTGGGTACAAGGGGTGATCGGGGGCGACTAGCCAGCGCTCGGGGAGGAAGGCGTGCGGCTGCGGCCACGCGGACGGATTGCGGTGAACGGCTGGGTGCACGATCCAGATCGCACAGCCCTCAGTGGGGAACGATCGACCCTTGTCGTCGCGGAGTGATACACCCGGGCGCCCTCCCCGCAACCCGTTCGCCGGAGGGAACAAACGCAGCGTCTCCTTGATGACGGCATGCGTGTAAGCTAGCTGGTTGATCTTCTCGGGGTGGGTCTGAAGCACGGCATTTGCGCTCGAGGGGCCGAAGACGCGGTCGTGCTCCGCGCGGACTTCTTCGAGAGCCTTCGGGGTTTTCGAAAGAAGGTACAACGCGTAGATGATTGTGGTCGCTTCTGAATCATGCCCGACGAACAGAAACAGGCGGATTTGGATAGTCGCCCAGCGCTTGAAATCCGGATCGAGCGCCTGCTCCGGCGAACGCGTTTTCATATAATCCGCAATCACTAGGTCCATGATCGATTGCGAGCGCGCGTTGCCCGAGGGTTTCGCGGTGGTTTGACACCACTCCTGGTACCGCTTGTCGAGCTCGAGCCCAATGAGGTGGTCTAGCGTGCGTCCGTTCTGCCATTGCCGGTAGAATCGACGGGGACTCCATCGAGCGAGCATGCCGCCGGCCTCGATTCCACATTCAAATTCAATAGTGTCTCGCATGGCCGCCGCAATGGGGTTGTGTTGCTCTTGGAAGCGGAAGCGCGTGTTCCTAGATTGTCCCAGATTAGTGCATACGCCCTTCTGACCCGGGTCCGAGCCATGGGATGAGGAAGGATGCTCACAGGGCCACATTTCCAATGATATCCATGGTATAGCGACAGGTCAGCTGGTCGAGGGAAAAAGTGTCTCCCTTGTGCGCATGCTGTGTGAGCATCTGAATGAAGACCTCGGCCTCCTCGAGGATGCAGGGCAGGTGGTTCATGGCCGTTGCCATGCTAAATCCATGGTTGAACATGTCCCTCGACTTTTTCCAGTGGGCGCCATTGGTGACAAACAGGTTGTCTGAGCCACCCGCCATCGGATTGATAAACGATTGAAGGACATCGGGTTTAGGGAGGTCATAAGTTTGGGCGGCCTCAACTGCCAGAACTGGAGATGTCACCACCAGCATCGGGGAGCTGAAAGGCCACACGTCAACATAAAACCCGGCTTCACCGTCGGGTACCTCGGCGGACAGTAGGGCAAAAAGCTCGGCTTCACGGGCATCTGCCGGCCCTTTTTTGTGTAGCCCAGCCATCACCGGCAGATTTCCCAGGATAGGGTTCCATGGCGGCATGGGCTGGCAAAGTGCATCAATATCGCGACCGTTGGTTTGGGGGGGGTGAGGCGTTCATACCAGTCCTTGCTTTCTCAGGCGATGAAACATCAATCGCATCTTGATGAGTTTATAAACAAAGGAGGTGATGCAGATAGTTGTTACTGTCACCAACAGGCGGCTCGCCAATCGAGCCCATTCCCCGGTGTGGGCAGTCATGGTTGTGGTGATGGTCGAGGTCCAGATGAATGAAAGGGGGAACGATGAGTTGGCAAGCAAGGAAGATGTAGCAGCAACTCAATGAGTAAGTGAGTGGGTGAGTGAGGGAGCAAGCAAGCAAAGCAAACAAGCGAGTGACTACTAAGTAAATATGTGAGGTGAGTGCAAGGTAAGTAAGGCAAGTAAGGTAAGTAGAGAAGAAAGGGGAGGAGGCAATTTGGAAGGGAAAGCGGAAAAGCAGCGGGCGGCGGCGGGCGCGGGAAAAAGCACGCACCTTTTGGTGCGTGTTTCTGTGTTTCGGTTTGCACAGCACAAACAAAGACAAAGAAAAGCGCAACCCCTGGCTAGACTAGTGGGGACCAGGATGCGGGAGGAAGGAGGAAGGACAAACTGAGTGAACCTTGAACCTCTTCTCTTGAACCGAAGCAACCGAGCTGTCAGCGACTGGGCCCCAGCTGGGCCCCGGCTTGGCCCCGGCTGGGCCCCCACTCGGTTCTTGTCTTTTCAGTTTTCAGTGTTCAGTGTTCACCCATTCACAGCGACTTAAAAAGTCATTTGATACGCTTAGCACGCTAAGCACACTAATGCACTAAGTGGGGACGGGATGGAGGTGCCCCCTGCCCAGTGGCCCCAGTCTTGAAGGTTGTCTTTTTGGCCCCCAAGAAGCCCTAGCAGTAAGCCTGAAAAGAGGGGTTACATCGCAGTCAACTGGCTCCCGTTTTCTGCACAATTCTTGTTTCTCCCGCTGAGGCTGTGTAATTGTTACCCAGTACGGAGAGAGAGGTCCTAGTATGCATAATGGCATGCTATTCACCACTTCTTCAGCAAGACATCATCATGTACCTATATCAGGTACAGTGCTCTACAGTACACAGTTCTTTACTTGGCACAAGGCACACCTGCCACCGTCTCGGATGACCCCATCCAGCCCATCCAGCCCATCCAGCCCATCCAGCCCCAATGAACCACACATAAGTACTATAAGCACGCCTTGCTGCAAACCGTGGAACCCGCTGACAGGCTGCAGGTCAGACCCGCGGAACCCCCTCAAACCCCTCAACAGCCTCAGGAATCCCAGAAATCTCAGCAAGAGTACTCAAGCTTAACCTGCTCTTTGTCGTCCACCATGGCGCCTCAAGACTCTGCTGGGCGGATTCCCAAGCAGAGTTTCATTGTGAGTTGAGCTCCCCTTCTGAAGAGAGACAATATCAAACTGACTGGAGGGTGAAGATCTCGATTTCCGTGCTACTAGTCCCGGCTATCTTGGGCGTGTTTGCGCGCCTGTTCATCCGCCTGCGCATTCAGAGGCAAAGACCCTCAACGGACGACTATCTCCTGGTCGTTGCCCTCGGCTTCCTCCTGGCGAGTATCATCATCATGTATACGGAGGTGGTGGATCGGATGTATCTGGTCTTTGCCATCAGTCAAGGCATGACCGATGTCGCCATTCCTGCGGATATCATCCAAGTCTCGTACTTGTTCCATCTCTGGAGCGATGTCTGTCTCTTGATCTCCTGGTGTGCTTTCAGTGCCGTCAAACTGAGCTTCCTCTTCTTCTTCCGGAAGCTGATCGAGCGGATGAAGGCCTGGCAGCTGTACTGGTGGGCCATCTTCATCTACACGATCTGTGTGCTGATCTACGGATCCTTGATCTTCTTCGTCAGCTGTCCCTACTTCTTCGATCCCCGCGAGAGTGAGTGGGCCTTGTCCATGAACCGGTTTGAGTTGTGGCCTGCTAACAAGAACAGATGCGTGCGCGACCGGAAGCAACAAGCAGGTGATTGTGAATGAGTCCATCGCATTGGCAGTCCTCGATATAGTGGGTGACTTTTTGAGTAAGTTTATTTCCTTCTGTATCTTGTATCGCACTATCCAAGTCACAATCCTGACAACGGACCAGTCCTTGTGATTCCGATCCACGTCATCTGGAAGGTCCGGGTACGATGGCCGCAAAAGGTCCTCCTGACCTGCTCCCTCTGCCTGACGGTCATCATGATTGCCCTCTCGATTGTGCGGGTCTGTGGGCTCGTGGCCGGCGAGATGGTCGACACCATCTGGGAGACATATTGGCAATTCTTGAGCGCCGAGGTCGGGGTCTTCCTGGCGGCGGCCGTCTCGTTCCGCTCGCTTTTCGTGGCCCACCAAAAGTCCTATGCCCCGGCCCACTACTCGGTCAAAAAGTTTCTGCAGCAGTCGTTCCAATCCCCGCGGAAGCGCGATCCTCTGACCCTAACCGAGTCATGGCTCGAGATGCCCGAATCCGACATGGAAGCGTTATCGGGTAATAATATCGATGCCACTCATCCAGCCCGGGGGGAGTGACAGCACCCGTGTTGGATAAGAGGTAAAAGCAGGACCAACCAGGGGACCATCTGCCGTGCGGGGTAGGTGGTTGGAGACCCTTATCGCCGAACGGCTTGGGGGCGGCTATGGCCATGTTCTTGATTGTTCACGTCAAAACTGTGGCTGGTTTATGTGGGACATTGTAGATTAATTTGGTATTAACGTCTTAACGATTTCTTATTTTATTTTATTTTATTTTTTGTTTTATTTTTATTTTTATTTTTTTTTCTGTCGTCTTCTGAAGATGACCCCGCCCGTGAAGTGCCGGGATGGCGGGGACGACAGCCGGGTACGCTGACGGTGACGGGACATAGTGTATATACTGTGTACACACGACGAAATATGTACTGTACATAGGTAGTAGTACCCAGGTAGTACCACTTACGGAGCCTCCCGCGACGAGTCTGGTTGGGGGCGATTAGGTTAGTTCCTGTGGGAACTTGGAAAACTGGACTGAGTCCATGCGAGCCCAGGTGGGGGGTGGTATGTACAGTACTTGCTTTATCATTGGTCAGAGAAATAAAGAACGAATGAAAATTGAAGTTCAAACAAAAAGAAAGAAACTCGTTCAGTCATTTCTCAGGGCTGCCCAGTGGTCACTGCGGTTACCTTTCCCCCCATTCCGTTTCCCTCATAGGTCCGTAATTATAGGTCCCACCACGGTACCCGCACCAGCTAACCTGTAACTAACTACCTAAGGAGTATTAATGCATTGTTTCGCCGACTGCCTGCAGTCCCCGTCACAGTCAGCCCACCTTTGCAGTGGACGGCAAGTTGGGTAGGCACGGCCTCCCGTAGTACCCTAATTGTTGTCCACTTGTCCACTTGTCCACTCGTGGGTCCTTTCCACTGCCAGCCCCCAGGGATCAACCATGATCCAGTCAATTGTCCTAGATATCCCATCTCACCCCTTAGTCCCAAAGTGCTTGTCAAGCCTCGCGGGTAAGTATGAGGGGTCAACCCACTGGTGCAGCTCTCGTCTCCTCCATCCCCTCATCCCCTTATCCCCTCATCCGCTTATCCACCCACACCAGCCAACTCAGCCCTCTCTCTCCTAGACTACCACCACCCAAGCGCGGCCCATGGTCAGTCCAGGCGCGTCAAGGCAGCACCGATACAGGATGCAAGTGCGGAGCTGGCGAGAAAGGGGGCCGAAAAGAGCAGAAGAAAGACTATCACTTGACGGGACAGACTGGGAGGAACCGCTGCGGCGACGGCAAATCCGAGCAGACCGAGAGTATAGCTTAGCATGAAGGCGCGACCGGATCCCATGGTTATCGGTGGTGGTTTGGGGAAGTCCAGCGACACAGCGCAGGATCAGAACGGAGCAGCCGAAGGCACACTTAGCTACTTATCTAGCTGCAGGATTTCCCACTGAATTCATCCTTCCCCCTTGTCCACCCAAGGCTGACAGCCCAACAGGGATCAATTACCTCCTGATAGGTTGGTCCGTGCGATGACTGCAGTGGTCTCTCTCATGCAAGTGAGCTCGCCACCATATACCTCCGGTGTCATATCCATGATATCTGCATCATCTTCCAAAGATGGCCACTCCCTCCCCCCGCCCGGACGTTGACCCTCTATTTGTGCTAGTCCATAATGGCATCAGCCGTGCACTGCCGCCGTTGGGGGCGCTTTTTCCCGCCTCGGTTGTAGAGCTCGGTTACAAGCACAAACAAGTACCTTTTGGCGAGGATTGGAAGTATTTGAAGGTCAATCTGCCAGATGAGTAGGAGTTACGCAAGGTTCAAGTCCTGTACAAGGGATCAATTCTGTCCACCCGATGCTCGCCATGAGAGTTTATCCTAATGCACACCCGTTGCTTGCACCGGAACTAGGAGATTGGTTCCTGTTCCTTATTGCCGGCTCGCTTTTGTTCTGCCTCGTGAACTATGTAGTGGGTGCCGTTCTGTTTCATAGAGGAACCGCCAATAAGTCCGGGTTCAAGACACCACCGCTGGTGCCCAGCGTTCTTCCCATTTGGGGCCACTTCTCTTTCCGAATGATCGTGGATCCGCGGGGATGGGCTCTCTCAGCGAGGTGCTACTCCTATCCATGCTATCTCTCTCACCGGCTCAACTGACACACAAATGTGCAGGAATCTATTTGGGAATACAACCCCCGTGAGGGCGCGGTTCCTGGCCAATGACGTCTACATCTTCCAAGGGACAAAGAACCTACATGCCTTCTTTCGCCAGCGCGATCTCTCGTCCTTCAATCTGCATGGGTTTCTACTCGACCGCGCCTTTGGGCTGCCCGCTGCTGCGGTGAGAACCTACACGAAAGATGACTCGGGGGCCTACCCCAAGCCCTATCCGGAGAGCCAGGTCGAGCCGCGCAACCGACTGGAATATCAGCTGGAGCGCAGCTTACATCGCTTTCTGCTCGGGCCGGGCCTGCTGCCTCTCACACGGCGATTCCAGCGTGCGATCGCGCAGCGCTTCTACACCCTCCCCATCGGCGGCGACTGGGTCCCGTGGGATAATCTCGTCACCTTCTTCGAGCAGGAGCTGGCGGCACCGTTCCTCAATTCCCTCTGCGGGGACTATCTTCTGCGGGCGCACCCGGACTTTCTGACGAACCGATGGGCCTTTGAGAACAACATCTGGTCGATGATCGCAGGTCTCCCGAGGTTTCTGGCTCCGCGGGCCTACCGGGCGCGCGATGGCGCTCTGCGGGCGCTGAAGGACTGGCACGTGTGGGCGCTCCAGAACTTCGATCCCGCGATGGTGGACGCAGATGGGGACGATCCGGTCTGGGGGTCCAAGTTCTTTCGCGAGCGCAAGACCATCTTCGACACCATCGATGGGTTCGACCTGGATGCCATTGCGACCCATGATCTGGCCTTTATCTGGGGGTAAGTTCTTTTTCTTTCTTTCTTTTTTTTTTCTTTTCTATTTTCTTGCTTCTCTCTCTCTCTCTCTTCTTTTCTGGTTTCCCCTTTTCTGTGGAAAATGTTTCAACGGCTAACCCTAAAATTCGCACGCAATAGGACAACCAACAACAGCATCATCACCTCGTTCTGGACTGCGGTGGAAACCTTCCGCGACAGCCACCTGCTCGCCCAGGTGCGACAAGAGGCCGCAGCCTGCCGGATCGACGACCCGGCGGCCGGCGGCCCCAACCAGCCGCCGCAGTTCGACATGGAGAAACTGCTGCAGCAGCCGGTGCTGCAGGCCATCTACGCGGAGACGCTGCGGCTGCGCATCAGCGGATACTTCGTGCGGCACCACTCCCATGGCGACATCCACATCGACGGGTGGCGCATCCCCAACAACCACCTCATCCTCACGAGCCCGATGCACGCGCACATGGACCCCACCATCTGGGCGGCCGAGCGGCCGGTCGACGAGTTCTGGCCGGGCCGGTTCCTGAAGCCCGGTGGCGGTGGCTGGGAGTTCACCACGGAGCGGGCCCAAGGCGCCTGGATCCCCTACGGCGGCGGCTACCATGCCTGCCCCGGCCGGCATTTCGCCAAGATGATGATCATCTTCTCCACCGCGCTCTTGACCACCATGTACGACTGCGAGATTCTGGCGGACCCCAAGGATCTGGAGATGAGCATGCGCAATTTCGGCTTCGGAATGTCCGGGCCCAAGGGTAAGGTGCCCGCGCGGCTGCGGCGGAGGGTATATTGAGAGAGACAGAGAGCGCGTTGGGAGGATTCGCTTGCATCTGATCATTGAGGGAAGTGACGGCGTCTTCTTCTGTCCATGTGTTCATGTGTTTATGTGTCTATGTGTCCATGTGAGTCTAAAGGATATTCTACTTTGATACCATCTGATCTATATATTGCTGAAATGAAACCAGAAATTTAATATAGCAGTGTCTGTCTCTTTACTATGTAAGAAAAGTCTAGGGCTAGTATAACCTTCTTAAAGCTTTTTTTTCCGTGTGGAAGGTTGAGCAAAATACCCATCGTCAATTCATCCGCTCTATAATCAAGTACCTTTCTCTTTTCTATGTCCAGCACTTTTGTTTGGTTTTCTGTTTTTTTGTTTGGTTTTCTGTTTTTTTGTTTTCTGTTTTTGTTTTTTTTTTTTCGGAGACGACAACGGGGGACTGGCTTTTAAAAAGATCAGCTGATTCCCACATGACGCGATTTCATATCTATCCATATTGATCCAACCCGCATTATTCTTACAGAAGAGGTAAGACTTTTTACTCCTTTACAAGTAGTTCCAGACTGGTGCCTCGAATCTAGTAAGCCTGAGGGTCTAGCTGTTCTCGTCCATTGAATGATGAGACATCTAGAGCATGGGATATTTTTGTGTGATAGTGGCATGCAACAACTTGGACCAGCACCAGAATCAACCCGCGCGTTATAGCACCGTTGCACTATGAAGAGAAAGCTGTGTGTGGTATGCTTCCGGAAGACGCGGAAGACTCAACAAGAAGGGCTGGGGATCCAGGTAATCTCCCCGGTTCTTGGCATTCCGGCGCTATCGATACACGGTCTCCCTTCGTCAAGTTTTATTGGTTGAACTTGATGCCATGACATCCGCACCAAGTGCTTCGCCCAGATTCGCACGCACGTGGGCTCGCTAATCAATCAGATAACGTCGGTTAATGATTAGACGATATCCCAGACTCTCGGCCTTGAGTACCTGGATCCAATAGCTTGCGAAGTCTGACGAGATCTGACGATATTAAGACTTGGTGCTGACTCGGGCTCTAGTCGTAGAGCTTCGCTTACAGAAACAGGGTCTATGCAATGACTGAAACGCCCTCTTCTGTCCAGCGTCCCTTTGTCCCACGTGGTGAGCTTCCGGATGTTGATTGCAGCGTAGTTCCTGTCTTCCTTCCTGTTCTCCAGGTTTTCCATTGAAAACGCCGAGATGTAGGCGATCCAATCGGATTCGTACAATATACGACATTCGACCACAACATCGAGATATAAAACACTCAGCGGACAAGGCTCAGTGAATTGGTCTATCCAACAAGCTCGAGAACTGGTGATGGCGTATAAGTTCCAGTCCTTACTTCTCTCCGTGGCAATCGCCACGGCGGTTGAGGGGAGTGCAATCCACCCGCGAGCGACTCCCACCCAGCCCAATTGGTTCCAGACCTCGCCTGATCTCTATGCTGGTGAGTGCCTTCGGTCTTCCTTCCGCTCAACGAGCCAAAGTCTCTGACATGACATCGACTAGGCACTGTTGCGACCGGGGCTGCACCCTTCCTCGCTGAGATCAATCCCGCGCCTTTCGGGGATGCTACCTATGTTCCCAATGCTCCGCTGGAGACCTCGGAACCCATTCAGGGTGCGAAGGGGAGGAACGTCTTCCACCTGATGGGCGATCTGAGGTAAGATCTACCCCTGGATATCTGATACATCCTGATGAGAACTAACTCTCCTCCACAGTCCTTACTTTTCGCCGCCCGAGGGCTTCGGGGTGAACGAATATCCCTTGCCCAAGGGTGCTAGCATCACCCAGATGCACATGCTCCAACGCCACGGGGCGCGATATCCCTCTTCCTCGGAGGGCCTGGACACGTGGGGTGAAGCCATCGCCAATGCAACCGCAAAAGGGCACGTTTTCTCCGGCAAGCTGGAGTTTCTGAACCAGTGGTCCTACAGCCTGGGTAAGGAGATCCTTGTCCCGCAAGGCCGCCAGGAATTATTCGATGCGGGTGTCCTGAACTTCTACAACTACGGCCATCTGTCCGACCGCAGCAACGGCACCGCGAAGCTCGTGGTGCGCACGACTCTGCAAGCGCGGATGCTCGAGAGCTGCGAGAACTTCCTGGCGGGCTTCTTCGGGCTGAATTGGCGTGACCACGCCAACATCCTGGCCACCATCGACCCGGCGACCACGGGCGAATCCGCCTGCACCAAGGCGTCGGAGACCATGATGGAATCCGTCGCGGTCCCCGTGGGCACCTGGATGGCGACCTATCTCGAATCGCGCACCGCCGAGCTGCGGCGGCTGGCGGGGAGCTACAACTGGACGGTGACCGACACGTACCACGCGCAGGCGCTCTGCCCCTACGAGACCATCAGTCTCGGCTACAGCGACTTCTGCCAGCTGTTCACGTACGACGACTGGGAGAACTACGCCTATCTCATGGACCTCGAGTTCGCGGGGCTCTCCGGCTTCCACAGCCCCACCGGCCGCGCGCAGGGTATCGCCTTTGTCGAGGAATTCCTGGCGCGCGTGGAGGGCCACCTGCTTGACGTTCCCGCCAACACCACCGGGGCGAACGTGACGCTCGACACCAACCCCGTCACCTTCCCGCTCGACCAGAAGCTGTACCTCGAGTTCACCCACGATGCCAACATCGTTTCCGTGTTGACGGCGTTCGGGCTCACGCAATTCGCCGATCCCTTGCCTCTCACCGGACCCACCAAGGACCAGCAGTTCCACTCCAGTCGCCTCGTGCCCTTCGCGGGCCGTCTGAATATCGAGGTCATCAGCGCCCCGCACAAGGTCTCGACCAAGCGGTCCTCGTCCAAGGCCACCCACCACAAAGGTGACTATGTGGCCGGCAGTGGCCCGACCCAGTATGTGCATTTCATCCAGAACCAGCGCACCATCCCGCTCCACTCCAGCTTTGCGGAGTGCGAGTACCGCGAGGACGGATGGTGTGAGCTGTCGACCTTCTTGAGGATTCAGAAGCAAGGTCTGGCGGAGGCGCAGTATCCATATGCCTGCTTCGGGAACTGGACGATGAAGGGTTGGGGCGCTGTTACAAACGGTGTTCCTGCATGAGTACGAGGTAGAGAGGTAGTATACCCTCTGCACGACCACGATTCAGTAGAACCCCTGCCCCACCACGTGCGGCGGACTCGGCAAGGGATATTCCCATGTGTACCGAATTTGTTGCTACTATGTACCATCACATTAGCCAGAAGAATACAGCCTTCCAGTTTCGGAGTTCTTCCGTCCACCTTCTGCAAGACACGTTGACCCCAGCGGAGAAAAGCAGCTTGATCTGGCCTGTCCATCCGTCGTATCCTGCATACGATAGGGCTATCGCCCCACTCGCTACCTAATAAGGCCCCGCCCGAGAAATAGTGCTACGGAGCGAGGGCCGAGGGATTGCAAAAACCTTGTGTTGATTGCCATCACTAAGGGAAGCGCTGTGAGTAAAAAGGTACAGAGAGAAGTAAAGAAGATTAAAATGAATGATTTGAGAAGAGACTCCAGCCAACTGGCCCAGAAGGGAAGCAAATGCCGGCCTCTGCATTTGTCCATGTTTGGGGCTTGGGCTTGCCGCTTGTTTGCCCGTTTCGGAGATTTTCCCTTCTGGGCCTGTAGCGCCAGTACTCAGCCAGGTATACATAATCCATGATGGCATTTGAAGGGACGAGTCCTGGAAACAGACAGAGCTGAAGTTTGAACTTGCTAAGCCTAAATAATCATTCAGCACCTTGACATCCAATCACCACGGATCAAGTCCATCCATTGTCTAATACCGAGCCAGCAAACGAAAACTGCTGAGTGACCACCCACTTGCACCATCTCGCGAGAAATAATCTCCATTGACAGACACTGCCAACCATGATTCAGAGAGGTGATGCAACTCCGACCGGAAATCCGGGGTTTGAAACTGTATTTCTTCATACGGTTGCAAGAACCAAGGATCCGACAACTCTGTTCCCGGTGGTAGACTCGCATTGCGCATGATGATTCGGCCCTCGCTCGGAGTCAGTCTACCAACTCGACTGGTGCCACTGATCACTCTCTCCCCCATCAGCTGATCTCCTCTCGACGGCGAAAAGGAAGGAAGGTTCCCGGCTGAGGCATGAACTTGTCCTCGCCTTACAAAAAGATGACGCTCGCTGTTCGCTCATCGGTTGGTATATGCAAAGCATCCAGAGCGGGCGAGGACGCCCGCGGTGAGACAAGAGACGATACAGAGAGCCCCAAAGCGAGGTGCATAGACAGTTTCAATCATTCACGAAGAGCAAGAGTCAGCACCAAATCTCCCACGATGAAGACAGCGGCGCACCGCAACCCCGCGCGGCCTCATGACGAACCTGTATGACATCCCCGCCGGGCTGGTCACCGGCATCGACGACAGCTCGCTGGCGGCGCAGATCATCGTGGCCGTGATCCTGGCGATTGCATTCTACAACTCCGTAGAGCTCGTCGTCCTGATCTTCCTCACCTTCAAGAAGTACCGCGGCCTCTACTTCTGGTCCCTGCTGGTCTCCACCGTGCTGGGCGTCATCCCCAGCGTCATCGGCCCCGTGCTGCACTTCTACTCGCTCAGCCCCCTCCTGCTCGCCCTGCTCATCTCCAACATCGGCTTCTACGCCATGGTGCCCCTGCAGTCGCTGGTCCTGTACTCCCGCCTGCACCTGCTCCTCCGCAACCCGCGCCGTCTGCACCTGATCCTCTACCTGATCCTGCTCACCATCGCCATCCTGGTGCCCCCGACCACCATCACCACCTACGGGTCCGCCTTCGTGGGCACTCCCCCCTGGAACGCCGCGTACCAGGTCATCGAGCGCGCCCAGGTGACCGGGTTCTGTCTGCTGGAGCTCCTGCTCTCCGCATTGTATATCCGGGAGGCGGTTCAGGTGCTGTGGGCGGGCGATCCCGCACTGCTGCGCCGACGGCGCGAGTCCGGGCAATCCGACGGGGCTGGCAGCAGCAGCAGCAGCAGCAGCAGCAGCAGCAGCGCCAGGAAT